CCGAAGCGCCGACCGTGGCATTAGGATATACAGCTCCGCGAATTGTGGATGGCGGCCCATCTTGCCTTACGCCTTCATCTTGCTTCTGGGAAGGACGTGTTGTGCCATGCCCGACGAGCAGACGCCTTTGCTTGCTGAGAGCGCCTTGGCGCGCACAGATGTCGACTCGGAAGAGTTACGCGCTGAGATTGACCATGAAGCGGTGTATAAGCGCTTCACAGAGAGCAGGAAGTTATTTATTGTCTTCATGGCATCCTGGGGTGGACTCATTCCTTGTACGTGAAACGAGTCAACCGTCACACCCGCCTTGCAAACTCACGACTCGAATAGTGTTTGTCTCGGGCTCCTTCGTACCTTCAATACCCCAAATCGCCCGTGAGTTCGAGACTACCGGAGCTGTAATCAAGTATGTGATCCATACCTCCATACCGTCAACAGTTACTTACGTCTTCTGTAGCATTGCTGTTGGTCTGTCTATCTTCGCCAGCTCCGTAGGCAGCTTAACATGGGCGCGCTACTCCGGTTTCTGTACGTGCATTGCCATCTTCCATGGGCGTCATTAACGACGGCTTCAGATGGCCGCAGACCTGTATACCTTGCCTCAATGCCCATTCTGATCATCGGCTCACTCGGCGTCGCACGCTCGCGCAGCGTGAACGAGCTTTACTTCTGGCGCGTGGTACAAGCCTTCGGTTCCGGCGGCGGCTTCTCCGTCGGTGCAGGTGTCATAGCGGACATCTACAAGCTTGAAGAGCGCGGAAAGGCGATGGGGATATTCTTCGCGGTGCGTCCCGTTTCGTCACGGTTGTGGCCACACTAGCCTCGTGCTGATCGTCCACAGGCATGTCTGCTCGGTCCCGCAATCGCACCGCCCACCGGCGGCCTCGTTGCGTACTACTGGTCGTGGCGCGCGATGCAAATGGGCATGTTCGTGGTGACCGTCGTTGCGTTCGCGGTCATATACGCGTGTCTGCCGGAGACCAGCCAGCCCAATGCGCGGGGTATCGATAAACTAAACGAGGGTTTACCTCTGGAGGAGCAGAAGTGGAGGTTCACGTTCTTGAATCCGTTCAAGGACATAGCATTGTTGAGGAGTCCCGTTGTGTTGTCGACGGTGAGCATCTTCTCTCGTCATATTATAGAGGTCAATACTGATTGTACACCATTACAGTGCCTCATAGCCACATCCATTCTCATGATGGATATCTTCGTGTTGAATCCGCTATCATATACCATAGGTGAAGCGTATGGCATCCAGAACGAAGCCATAATTGGCCTATTCTTCATTCCGGCTGGTGTTGGAAACCTGAGTCCGTCCATGTATTCCCGTTCTTTATGGCGTAATGCTGACATCGACTTGCAGTCGGTGCACCTTTGGCCGGACGTATATCCGACCACATTCTCGTCAAATGGCGAAAACGCCGCGCCGGGGTGTGGGTGCCAGAGGACCGCCTAAGAGCTTCCCTGTTCGGCACTGGTGTCCTGGTACCTTTGTCTATGCTCCTTTTTGGCCTCGTTACAACGTTCGTGCGCGGGAAGCTAGGCATAGTCCTTACACTGATTGTTCTGTTCATGAATGGGATTGGGGTGAGTACTGCCTCTTGATTGCTCCGTTCATCGATCGAGATGCTAACACGCGCCTAGGTCGACTTCGGTTTGACACCTATCCAAGCGTATACAGTCGACATCCTTCATCATCAGTCCGCTGAAGTCATGGCAGCCACGGCGTACGCCCACTTTCGTACCTCAGGCCTCACGCGCCACCATACTGATGGAACTGCTTCTGTAGGAGTTTGAGGGGTACCATCATCGCGCTCGCCGTGTCCGGCATCTTGCCATCCATCGAGCAATTTGGCATCTTGACCACGTACAGTGCGGCCGCACTGATGTCTTGGTTGTTCTTTGGGTACGCTCTTGTTCTTTCGTCTTGTGGATAGCCTTTTGAGGCTAACATATACGCAGTCTACTACTAGTCACGATCAGATACGGTGATCGCATGAGGGCTTGGATAGACTGCGGATACTCTACGCCGGCGAACAATTAGAAAAGTCAGCGCTCCGCTCGAGCGCTACTGGCTGGTCGCCGTGCCCTCGAGGCTCGAGGCACACGGGCTAGACGAAAGATAGGGAGAAAAATCGGCCCAGACATATCACTGAGTGTATACGGGCCGACCCATGAGGCATAAATGTGTTGTAGGGGTGCACAAGACGGGCGACTCGGATTACGCCTTGTTCATCGATATCAGAAATCTCGGTCGGGCGGCAAGGTCCCAGGGAGGGCCCCAAGGTCGCGACTTCGTATGTAATCGCGACCTCATCTGCTCGCCACAGCTCCTACAGTCGGCAACCGGCGATGTGGTCCAACTTGAGCGTAGCTAGTTGTTTGTATCTAAACCGTATCGCGAGGAGCTTCTAGTGTGTCAAGAGACGAGATAACCGTGTTCCGAGAGGTGGCGAAAGAGGGTGCAAGGTTGCATCAACACGCCCTGGGCACGTTCACCGAGGCGGTGTGCCCGCGCGCCTGAGCGAGGCGCTGCGCCAGAAATTCGCGGGGCCGGCGCCATCTGCCACAAGCCTTGCTTCCCGCTGCCACCTCCACTACTCGAACTTGCTCTCTGGAAATTGTGTCGCGCGATGTGTTGAACGAATCGGTTTACGGTCTTTGTGAGTGAAATGTTATAAATGCTTGATAAGCCGAGCAAGCAAAGTGTGGCAACGGGCTGACGGCGTGAGCGCAGTTGGTTTGGGCCACTTGAGGAGCTCGAGCTCGAGCTTTGACGATTTCTAGTTCTGGATACAACGATGGCTGGCGGAAGTGACCCTCCCTCTTTCTTGTTTTCTTTCATCGCTGGAGACGAGAACAAGCGCCGTGGGTCCGAGCACGACGAGCCCTTGTACGGCCCGTCCAGAGAAGAACGTCCCCGCAAGCGCAGGCTCTGCGAGCCAGACGTTGTTCACCTTGCATCCTATCCACACCCTTCCTCTCAGAATATACGAATACCCCGCCCAGCACACGCTTCTTCAGTCTACCCCTCCCCACCATTGTCTGCTTTCTCACCGTCTATTTCTCTCCCCGTCGTCGACGCCACCGACCGCTGCGCCAGCACTCCGGCCTGTCTCGATCGCGCGCGCAACGAGATCATGCCTTTCGACCTTGAGCCTTATCGACCACCGCCCTCGCCACCACCGACTCTGCCCACAGCGACTCACGAGCTTCCCGATTCTGATGCGTCACACGACCAGCCTCCACTACAACGGCCTCGCATATTCCCGGACTATAGCGCAGACGGTGGCGATTCCCAGGCTCTAGCCAGAGAGCCTTCCCTGCTTACGCCTGTATCGCCGACCGACGACAAAGGACTGCTCGCCACGCCCTTTGCTACTGCCCATCATGGAGACGCTTCTGAATCGAACATGCCGAGAGAAATCCTCGAGGAGGCCTCGCACCAGCCATCCTGGTTCGCGCTGCATGATGCACCTTTCACTGCCTCCCCGCTACAGGACTTTCATCCCTTGAGTGGGCTGCGCATGCAGATACCGCACCAACACGTCTCTGTTGGTCCGGAGACCACAGCCTCCATTGATGCCCATACGACCAACATCTATGCCCGGGACTCCATCGAGTTGCGTCGCCGCGACGAGGACGAGCTCCTCACGCCTTTGACGCCTACGCCGCCTGACGATTATAAGCTTCCCCGAACTTCTGATCTGCTGTCCCGCTCGGAGCCCTCACACGCCGATCCTAATATCGATCTCGGAGACCGTGCCAGCCCCCCTGAATCTACGGCACCCGCAACGCCTATGCCCGTTCTAGACGGCAGCCTGTGGGGCTCGGTGGCACATACGCAGGATGATCATGAGCATGAGTTGCAGCCTATGGATGTCGATGACACGCGCGGGAAGGACGGACGGACCTCCCCACTCTTCTTGCAATTCATCGAATCCCATCTCCATGAACATGACCATGACCAAGACCCTTACCACGAGGATGCCTTTTGCGCTCCGACTAGCGCCGAAGCTTCTGGGCACCGACGCCACAACGATGCCAATGCCACGCCGCACGAGTACGAACAAGAACTCGATCCCGACGCATCGCCGCGATGGACCTCGCTCGAGCTCGATGACGACATCGAGTTCGGTTCGCCGTCTTCGCCTTCCAGGCGTAGCTCGTCATCCCTCCCTGAGCTCGACTTCGACGATAGCGATGGGTACCCTTCGCCCTCGCGCCGCTCATGGTCAACCTTGCCCAGCCTTGATCTCGATCTCGACCTCGATCCCCCGGAAACGCCCGGATCGCCGAAACACAATTGCTCGCCGCGTCTGCTGTCTCTACCAGGCGCAGAACTTGACGACGAGCTCTTCTCTTTCGATAGCATCGGTGCTGCCGAGCCCGAGCCTCCACCTTCCCAGGGATCCGGTCTTGGTATATACGTCCCCATCGCACCCGCACCCGTCGACCCAGAAACGATACCCACGGAGACGCAATTGGACTTGAACTTCTCTCCCGAAGCTTGCGCGCTCGTTGACGCTGAAGAGCTAGAGAAGCTTTTGTCTCTACGTCGGCGATCATGGTTCCTCGAACGTAACGCGAAGCGCGCAGAACTCGAAGCGGCCGACGAAGTTCGTTCGCTCGCCGCTGGCCTGCGTCTATCTCCGCCCGTACCAAATGCTCTGGCCGAGTGCGACCGCGACACGGGTGTCCTGCGGCCACCGCCCGCTGGTGACGCTGGTGCTATCCGCCGCGATATCCAGCAGCTTGACGCGAAGCGCGCCGAGGCGAGGCGGGACAGGAAGGCGTTTAAGGAGCGTGGGAAAGAAGTGCAGTGTTTATTGCGGTTCAAGCTCGGGGAGACGGTGTCGGAGAGGGATCAGAGTGGCGTTGAAATGCAAGATGGCATCGTTGGTGGGACGGGCGGCAGGCCGAGGAGAGCGAAGACGGTGATCAAAAGTATGCCGCATCTCGTCGCGCGCATGGTTTTGAAGCGACATGAGGCGGGCAGTCGACCGCTCTCGGGACGACAGCTGGTCTACGACCGTCGACCGTCTCTCCTCTCGCGCGCGGACGATGTGGTCATCGGAGAAGAAGACGACGACGATTTGATGATGAACGATTGAGATATGTAAAGGAATGGACGCGAGGTTTTTGTCCGAGTGTTCTGTGCGGGATTCTTGTGTATATGAATGGACGGTGTGCTGTCTGACTCGTTGCTGCTCTGCTTTAGTTCGTTACCTATCTTGCTTGCTTGGCCCCGGCAGCTCTCTCCTCTTAGAAGGGGTCCGTTCGTCCGTCATGCATCCGTTTCGATCCTCACTATTCATGCCCCTCTATTCACGACCCGCAGGACTCTCTCATCCTCTCTCGCGTATATCTCCTTTGACATGTCTAGTGTACAGTAACTTCTTTCCTGCTTGTGCTTTGCTCCCCCTTTTTCTATTGCTTTGTAGCATTGTATGTGCTCAAGTCCATAAGTCAATACCCACATAACCCATCTGTTCTTCTGCGTCTGCTATCCACCGGTGAAATGTTGAATCACGCCTTTTCTTCATAGGAATACTGCGGGCAGTCATCTTTCAGGACGCAGCCGTCGGAAGCTGTTACGGCTCACCCGACGGAGTTACTTTGAACGATTGCAAGGATCGCTGGTGCATTGAGACTTCAACTATATGTAAACACTCGCAGGTATCTCTACCAACCCGATGTGATGATGTTGTGCTGAAGATCCCAACCGCAGGTATCATTCCAAACATCTGCATCTACGCACTCCACGAAGGGGACCACCTCGCGAAGCTGGTCCAGCCATGCACCGCCATTTGACTGGATATCCTTCGCCTTATGCAGGCGCAGAGTCTGTATACGAGGGGTCCCAGCAGACACCGCGCATAGATCGGCCCGGATTTGCAATGCGCGCACGACTGTCTGACGCGTTTCCTCGCCTTCTCCCCGTTTATCGCGCCAGGTCTCGCAAAGGGACTCGCACGACATCGAGATGGTGTTCAGTTTCGGTAAAAGGAGGACAGGCGTGGGGTTCAGGTCGTCGCTGTCCTTGTTCGCCAGGTTTCGCGTCAAGGAATCGAAGGCGCCCCTGAGAACAACCCCGTCTCCTGGACCGTGGTATAGGTCCAGTCGTAGCACGCGTACGTTGGGCAAAGCTGCGTATACGACATCCCATGGCATCCACGGGTCGATAAGCACATCGAGGACCGTGATTTGCCGAAAAAGGACGGGTGCTACCGTCATTCCAAGCATCCTTTCGACCGGACTGTCCAAACAACATATCCGAGCCACCAGCTTAGAGACTTCGATGTTCATGTCGTCCTTGGGGCATGACAAGCACATCTGCTCAGCGTTTCCGTCAAGCGTGAGGATATTGAGCGCCACGGTGCGGGAGGCTGATAAGCGGGTGCAGAGACGAGTGGCGGCAAGAATGTCATGTTCCGTGTAAAGCAATTCGGGATCGTCTTCATCCGACCCTCCGCCTACGATAATATCGAGTTGGATGAACGCCGGAAGTGTCAAATATGTTTCGAATAGGTCGTAAACGCTTCCATCCTCGGTCGAGTCGCAACAGTCAAGTTGAAGGAATTCGAGGCACGGCAATGGGAGCGGGCTCTTGACGGGGGAGAATCGGCAGCGCTCGAAGCGGACATAACGTAGCGAAGGGCTGTACCGGAGGTCGTCGAATATCTCTGACATTGGGACAGGAGGTCGGTATAAGAAGAGCTCCGTAAGGTTGGGCATTGCGAACGAGACGTAAAACCGATTAACGTTGAGAGCTCGCAAATTGGGAAGAAGGAAGCGATGATGGGGTCTCTTCGAGAGGGTTGTCTGGTCCGGGTTATCCGAGCACCTGATCTCCAGGCCCTCCAATATGGGCAAGTCGCGGTTGGGGGTAACGATATTGCGGTGAAGATACGCCGAATCCTCCATCCGACTTAGATTCCACCGCATAAACTGTACACGTTCCAAAGGCAGGCGCGAGTATAGGGCTTCGCAGTTAGGTCCACGACTTTGGGATGAAATGAAAGATCTGATATGCAATGGGATAGTTGGTCCAGCGCGCGCTAAGAATGCAGGTAGAGCTCTGGGAAGGGCGGCGACGTTTCTGGCCCAGAAATGGGGAGCGCCCAGTAGAACGACACGCCATGCTTTACATACGTGCCCGTACCGCATCCACCCGAGGTTTCCTCCTCTTCCTCCTCTTATAAGCGATGGGTACGGCTCTTCGTCGTCGAAGATCGCAAAGATCATGAGTAATATCTCTTTGGGGAGGCGCGATACGGGAGCTAACGCGTTCGCGCGAGTGGACATCTCCAAGGAGAGCGCGCGAAAGTACATAGCGCCGCTTGTCAACTGTTTCGATTGCTTTGCCCGCGCGGCCAGATTATCCGAGTATAGTAGCCAATTCGAAGTGGAGCGGGTATATGCGAGGAAAGAGTCGAGCGGACCGTCTGCTCGCACCCTCGAGGCTCCGGTATTGGAACTTTTTCCGACAGGGCCATTGAGACGGGCGACTGCCGATGCCTGGCTAGAAGTAAGCCTATAGAATTCGACCTAGAAAGTGATGAGAGAACTTACCTGACTTTTGGACTCCAAGGACGGTCGCTCAGACATGATGGCGAGCGTTGAAGCCAGTCCCTAATCCGCCAGCAGACAACCCGAGCTGATGCACGCGGCTCGCTTATTTCATATCGGTGTGAAGCGCGTTCTGGACTCGCACGCCTACCAGACACCTTCAGAGGTATGGTATTGACCAAGAGCTCTCTATGCATAAGGGTAGTTGGAAGTAGAAGACAGACTCGGAAGACTCCTCAATCCTGAACGGAGAGTCGGCCATCATCTGAACGCGTTTGGTCACAAGTGACACGACGCGATTGCCTGAGTGCCATGTCGGTCGATGCCACGCGTATTCCGCTCGAAGCCTTCGGCCCGGTGGGATACAATAACATGATACAGCTGGTAGACACATGTGTTTCACTCCCGATTGCGCGCGCTATCAACCACCTATACTACCGGATACAGCGCGATGCAGCCATGTTTTAGTTGTTCGACGCGTCTGAATACCCAACATCAACCCATGCCCTCATCCGGTCTCCGTACCGGATCGTCGCCAAGAACAACCTACACGCACGCGTCAGTTCCCCTCTCATGTACCACACCAATCACTGAAGCTAAGATACGTACGCAAGAGAGCACCATATTAACCCCGCAAGTATCGCATTCGTCCACCACACCCCGATGCGCTCGATAAGCGGTATGAACACCGACGTCGCGATCCCGACCAGCAGTTGTCTGACACAGGCGGATGCGGCGGTGATCTGCGCGCTTTGGGAGTGGAGAATGTCGACGAGGTAGGCGGACATTGGCGTTAGGGCGTAGTCGCTCTGCAGAAGCGTCGTATACCATGAATGAGTACAGCGCGTTGATCTGAGAAGAAGGGGGAGGAACGTACGCCGACTCCTTGGACGAAAAGCAGCATTAGACATATGATCAGTCCGGGTGTACCGGGTATGAACTTGATGGTCAACCCGAAGGCGAGTAGGGATGCAGGAACGAGTGCTGCTATGGCCGGCACGCTAGCGCGCAAGCGGTCCTCAGGCACCCATGTCCCACGCTTCGCACGAGCGCGGATGATGATCATATCTGAGATACGGCCTGCGAGCGGTGCTCCGACTGCAACCAAGTCAGTCACCATGGTGGAGGAGGTGTCCTAGAGGACGCACTGATGTTGCCTATACCGGCTGGGAGGAAGCAGAGGCCGATGAGGCCTTCGTTGTCTATCCCATATCGCGCGCCCTGGATGATCGTACGCGTTATTTTAGACTCAAGTCCGGGGTTCAAGCGAGAAAACGCACCAAAGTGTAGGCAAGTGGATTTAGTAGCAGATGCTCCGCCATCAGTACCACCGTCGCGCACACGACCACAGCCATCACGTTCGGACTCCTCAACAGCCCCAAGAACCCGAAGGGATTCAGCCACACCCACTTGAACTTCTCCTTCTTCTCCAGCCCATCTTCGTCTACAGTGTGCTCTCCCAGCAGCGAAGAACGTTCTTCGGAAGTGCTATGGCCCTCGGCACGCAGCTTGTCGATCCCGCGCGAGTGCGGCTGACTCGTTTCGGGGAAGAAGATGGCGAAGAGTATGAGAGCGAGGAGACTGGCGGCGCCGATTGAGAGCTGCATGATGCGCCATGAGGCGTAGTGCGCGACTGCACCTCCGACAAAGGGTGCTAGAGCTGGTCCTAGGAAGGCGAACTGTCGGATTCGCAGCTGGATCAGTCTCCCTTCGTCGCTCCAAGTGTCTGTAGAGACGTACAGAGAAGAAGATGCCCGTCGCCCTTCCGCGTTGCTCGAGCGGGAATACATCCGCGATGACTCCCGCGCCGACGGAGAAGCCGCCCGAAGCTCCAAACGCCTGTACGATACGCCATGCCACCAATGTCGGTACAGAATGAGCAACGGCAGTTCCGATCGAGCCCAGGATCAGGATGGGCAGCATTGTCAGGAAGATCGGTCGGCGGCCATCTATCATTCATGTATGTTTGATCAGGAAGAAGGTGTAGGGGGCAGCGGTTTGAGGGCGTACACCAAGCGCTGTATGTCGAGAAGACGAGCATGCCGAAGGCGCCCGTTATGATCGACGCGCTCACCGCGAGACTAGGCATACGTGAGACCACATCTCTGTCGCTAACAAGTTGAAGACTGGCTTGATTACGGCGGGCGTAGAGTCGAACTCGCGCGCGACGGCTGGGATGCTCGTGATGAAGCTGCCCGACACGAACACTGTCAACGGAACGTCAGGACCGGCCGAGCATATACAATGTTCCAACGACGTACTCTGCGTAAGCCCAGCGAATGATACAAGCCCAAGTATGACTCGCTTCTGGGAGTCACTGAAGCGCTTGTAAACGGCTGCGTGCGCGCGCTCCTGCTCGTGCGCGGCTTCTGGGTCCTCGTCCGCGATCGTGAACTGCTCCTGCACCGGCGGGTCGGGCTCGACAGTCGTTGTTTCGACATGCTCGGAAGTTGGCACGGTCATGGTGTATCGGTAGGCAAGAGCCCGTAGGGCAGGCAGCGAAGTGAACTCTGCGCGCCGGACTGAAGTATATGGGACGGTTCGGTTCCGAATACCGTGTGCAAGTTCGTGATGTGACTAGGTCGCCAACGATAACCTTGTATGGTATTTCAAAGGGCATTGGCAGGCCGACCCGACCCGCATCGGAGCGGAGAGCGGTCAAGAGTTGGAGATTGGATGTCTTGAGCGATCCATGAATGGCAGAAGGAAGTCGCTTTACGCGCCGCGCGCCGTGGCGGGTTCGGAGACGCCGCGCGGCGTCGCGCTCGAGGCCACTGCCATCATCCATCACTACGCGCCCTGATTTTCACATTGACGATCCACTGTACATGAAGCCTCAAGCTACATATATCGATCTGGCGTGATTGCACGGCAATGATCATACGATCTTGGGATACTACACTAGGGCAAGCTCTGGAAGACAGTGTAATATATCCTTCATCTTTCCCTGTATAAGTCTCATCCTCTTCCACTCACGTCAGGTGTGTGGTCAAGTCGGTCGCCGTCCATGATGAATGGAGGTCACCGGTCAACCGCGAGCCTCGCGGTTCGAGTTTCGAGACAGCAAAACGCGTATCGTCACGGGTGACATGACGCGCGACGCGAGTGCTGGTGAAGCACCTGTCCGTTTACCCCGGCGCACGCGCGTTCCCAGGAGGAGGCCATGCGCGGAGGCCAGCGGTGCGGTTGATCGTGCAGGGGTTCCATAATGCAGCTTGTGTAAGTGTCTAGGATATGCATCGTGTTGTCTATGAGACTGGTAATAGTCTAGTTGTTCGCCGCAGTCGAGTACCCAACATCGACCCACGCCCTCATCCGATCTCCAAACCGGATCGTCGCGAGATACAGCCTGCCCATATCCAAGTCAGCTTCCATCCCACAAATCAAACCAATCACCGAAGTGGAGAATACGCACACAAGAGAGCACCAAATAAGCCCTGCAACAATCGCATTCGTCCACCACACCCCGATACGCTCGATGGCGGGTATAAACGCCGACGTCGCGACGCCGATGATCAACTGCCTGACACATGCGGACGCGGCTGTGATCTGCGCGCTTTGGGAGTGTAGGATGTCGACGAGGTAGGCGGACATTGGCGTGAGTGAGTAGTCGATCTGCATTCCATATCGGGGTTGAGTATCTGCGCGCTGGTGCGGGAGGACGAGGAGGGTACGTACGCCTACTCCGTGGATGAAGAGCAGCACCAGACAGACAACCAGACCGGCTGTTCCGGGTATGAACCTGATTGTCAACCCGAATCCGAGGAGGGATATGGGCACGAGCGCTGCTACGCCAGGCACGCTCGCACGCAGGCGGTCTTCGGGGACCCACGTCCCACGTTTTGCACGGGCGCGGATGATGATTATGTCGGACAGTCGACCGGCGATAGGTGCTCCGACTGGGACGGGATTGATTAGTGAATGTGAAGGAGGGGTATCATGTCGAACGCACTGATGTTGCCGACGCCGGAGGGGAGGAAGCATAAACCGATGAGGCCTTCGTTGGAGATCCCGTATCGCGCGCCCTATACCAGTCATCCGCATCAGCTCTACTTGAGATCGGAGAAGCATAAGGTAGGGACGCACCAAAGTATACGCAAGCGGGTTCAACAGCAGGTGCTCGGCCATGAGTATGACCGTCGCGCATATCACCACAGCCATCACGTTCGGACCCCTCAAGAGGCCCAAGAACCCGAACGGGTTCAGCCACACCCACTTGAACTTCTCCTTCTCCTGCCCATCCTCGTCCTCAGTACAATCTCCCAGTAGCGGCGACCGCTCAGAGGAACCGTGTCCCTCCGCGCGCAACTTGTCGATCCCACGCGAGTGAGGCTGGCTCGTTTCGGGGAAGAAGATGGCGAAGAGGATGAGAGCAATGAGGCTAGCGGCGCCGATAGAGAGTTGCATGATGCGCCATGATGCGTAGTGCGCGACGGCGCCACCGACGAAGGGTGCGAGGGCGGGTCCAAGGAAGGCGAACTATCTCAGCCACATCAGTACCCATGCGAGTTGTAAGTGGGTTATAAGACGTACGGAGAAAAATATGCCGGTCGCTCGACCACGCTGTTCGAGCGGGAAGACATCCGCAATGACTCCTGCACCGACGGAGAAGCCACCCGATGCGCCGAACGCTTGCACAATGCGCCACGCCACCAATGACGGTACAGAATGTGCGGCGGCGGTTCCGATCGAGCCCAGGATCAGGATAGGCAGCATCGTCAGGAAGATCGGTCGGCGGCCATCTATTTGCACCGTCTTGTCACCATGATGGATATGGGATTGGGGACAGGTAGAACGTACACCAGGCGCTATAGGTCGAGAAGACAAGCATGCCGAAGGCGCCCGTTATAATCGACGCGCTCACTGCTAGACTACGTTTGGATCAGCCATTCTTCCCCTTGTATAGAAACACCAGATACTGACTTAATCAGAGCGGGAGTGGACTCGAACTCACGCGCGACGGCTGGTATACTCGTAATGAAGCTTCCCGTAACAAACACTGTCAGCGCTCGTCAGTATCATTCGAACACATGGAATCAGGCGGACATACTCTGCGTGAGTCCCGCAAACGACACGAGCGCCAGTATAAGTCGCTTCTGGGGCTCTGTGAAACGCGCATACATGGCCGCATGCGCGCGCTCATCGCGCTCCTGCTCGCACGCGGCCTCCGCGTCTACGTCTGCGGGCGCGGGCTCCTGCGCTGGCACGTTCAGCTCGGCAGTCGGCGCTTCGACATGCTCGAGCAGCGGCGTCTGAAGCGAGTTCGGCGCGGCCATGGCGTAAGAGGCGAGAGCGCGAAAATGTGCCAGGGCGAGGCGGCGAAGTGGGATCGGTGCCCCGGACGGAAGCTTATGAGACCGTTCGGAGTACCTTACGGGTCGTGATAGCGATGACTAGGTCGTTGGTGATCTGACGTAGTGACTCTAGAGAGCCTGGTATAGTACGAAAGGAAGGGGCCATGCCCATTCAATACATTAAGATGGCAGGCGAGAGAACATGGCAGTAGGAGTAGAAGTGTGCTTGGGAAACCAGCGTCTAGATCATTGAACGGCGGCCCGGCGCAACCGCTTTTCACGTCTTGCGGTCATCACTGTCCCTCTGGCGCATAGGTCCGATGAGCGCTTCACAGTACCCACACAACATCAGACTGCCCTCAAAGAGTCACTTTCAGAGCCCATGCGACCTAGTGATCTTGTCATGAATGTCGCGGATCTCGTGCGTTCATTGCGATTGCCGATTAAACGGTTCGGGCGCGCCATGCGGTTAGCTATGGATAGTACTGGACATACTGAGAACGAGATCAGTATCAATGCGTATGCATGCTGCGAAGATATGGATGCGCCCACCTTATCGTACTGTGAACCCCCAGCGCTTCCAGGGAGCTCTCGATATCGCGGGTCTTTCGCCTCCTTCCCGCGATGATTGCGGAAGTGCCCGTCACCCTCAGGGTATGAATCGAGTTCCGAGGGATATGTACGGCCAGATGGTGCACGAATGATGTAACCCTCACTGGTCAAGTGGTCTCCGCGACGATTCCAGTATCCGCGACGCGTGCGCGTTGAGTAGGAGCTTGTGGACGCGTTTGACGTCGAGGGCGTGAGATCCTCTGAAGTTAGCTTGATGACCATTGACGCGGGCCGCTTTGTTGGTAGTACTGCTAGCTCTTGCGTTGCGGATGAGCTTATGACGGTTGGAGATTCATCCGATGATTGGGCCATGCTCGGCGTTGAACCCGTGTGCTGAAGCGATTGTAGTTGCAGGCTGGCAATACGCGCCGCTATGCCCGAAGAAATGTTCCGCCTCGTAGGAATGAGAGGTGACGGACGTGGTAGAGGCTTGGATGGCTGAACCGCAGGACCCTCATCGACAGCATCGTTTAGCGCAGTATTGGGGAGAGACTGAGAGGGTTCAGGCACTGTGCGTTCCTGCGATGACCCATCCTGTTGAGCCTCCGGAATGAGGGGCGGCGCGCTGGACGTCTCTGAGTGATGGGTGTCATGAACACTCAAGACCTTCGACAACGACGCAATCGAGCTCTGTGTTCTCGGTGTAGATGGCTGAGACTATGATGCATTAGCATCAAAGGGTCAAATTGAGATACAGCACGATGCTCACAGGTAGCGTGGGGGAGAAATCAAAGACCGACTCGGCAGAAAGACTCGAGGAAGAGATACTGGACAAAGTCGAGGGGTGAGACTGGGGAAGATCAGTGACAAAACTGATGCATAATTCATCTTTACTCACTACCGGCAAGACGTCAACGTCAGAGCTTGCATCGTTGGCCGTGTCGCTCAACGAGTTGTGAGGATCAGGATGAAGTTCTGCCGGCGTTGTGACTGGGGATGGCGAATTGGATGGCATAGCGATCTGGACTGCTGAAGCGGTGGCAGACACGGTAGGATGAGGAGAGCTATCACGCTCTCCTGTGTTTTCACGGCTTCTAGAAGATGGCTTTGATGGCGTGATGAAGTCTGGGCTTGCAGAGGCATTCATAGAAGGTACGGGGTCAAGCATGGTCCCAACAGATATGACAGGATCAGCGGACCCGTGTGGCACCTCCTCAGCCGAGGAGTTAACTGCCTCTGTACGCGCACGCTCCGAGATGAGGAACGTAGGGGGCTCTGCCTCCGCCAAAGAATGGCCGGCAGTGGCTATCCCGGAAGAGGAGCCGCGTCGGCGTTGATCCCTACGGCCACGGACTTGGATAGCTTGAGAGTCGTGCAATCCTGCATCGCTGGGGCGTAGCTCGGGACTCATCGCGTGAGTTCTGGCTATTGAGGGCTCTGGATTCGCCTGTGCAACTCCATGGCTCGGCTGTGAAACTATACGCTGTCTCTCGCGCAAAGGGCGCCGCGCGTATGCATCGGCTCGAGTGGCGGGTTGGAGTTTGCTCGGAGGTATGGACGAGTCGTTCAACTTCATCTGAGATAGCGAGCGGGGTAGGCTGCTGGTCTTCCTTCTTGTAGAAGACGATGATGCACGCGTGGTAGATGTCTGGGCATCGTGCGAAAGGTCATGGGGTGGATGCACCGACAAGTCTACTCGACTACGAGCAGTTGATAAGCGTCTGGAATGCCGTTGCACATCTCGAACCCTAGGTTCAGACTATGCATATGATCATGTACTGAGTGAACTCACTGTTGGGGTTGCCCGAGTAACTCCGGGTGCGAAACAGGTGGTGAGATTGAACTGGGTTGTCACCCGCCGTAATGACTTCGGCGTCACTGGCATATAGGACCTGCGGGTCTGTAAGAGGGGGTCAGGATCGGCCGAACGCTGGCACAAAAGAAGATGTACGTACTGTGCACATCGTCTGAGAGATCGCGATCATCCCCACGATTTATTATCAACTCGCCACTCTGCCTCCTATACGATGACGAGGATGATGGTACTACTATAGTGATCATGAAAGGTTAGTTTTAGTATTGTACGTTGGAAATATGAAGTTTGGCTCGAACCTAGAACATTGTCATCAATGTCAGATGCCGGCGGAAATCCCCCCACGGATGAGGCTGCGATTCCAGGTTGTGATCGAAGCTCGTTCAATCGCTGAAATATCCATCGGAATGAAGGCCTCGAGACCGGACTATCGCTCCAGGCACGCTGAACAATGTGAACAAATGTCGATGAGGATGTTCATCATACAGCTCACCTGGATGATGTTGTCAAACAAAGGCCCTTGAAGAATAGGTATACGAGGCAAGGTCGGTCGCTTCTTCTCGTCTGCAAGCAAGATAGCAATGGGTCACTACTCTTAAAACCAGAGCGCGAGAAACTACTGACCACAGACAAGATGGCGGATAGTATTCTCTTCAAAGTGCGGCCAAGGAAGAGCTCCTAGCTGGAATATTTCAACACATAGTATACCGAAAGCGTAAACGTCGATCTGAGTCGTGAGTTCAGATACCGCCCCCCTCATGAGCTCCGGAGACTGCCATCGAAGGGTTCCACCTGTGCGAGCATGATCCAAACAGCTTCACAAGAAGCATGAACTACACGCACGAGAGATCGGCTGTCCGCTCAAGCGAGAAACCTCGGCCTTCAGCTCGCTTTGACCGAAGTCCGCCACGATGCATCTCAGAGTGTCACTCATCAGAACGTTGGATGCCTTGGTTCGATGTCAGTATGATGTACCGGGCATGGTAGATGAGGCATCTACCTTGAGATCGCCATGGATGATGCCTCTGCGATGTAGGTATGACATCCCCCTGGCGATGTCCTTTAAGAGCTTGAGGACGTCCACCTGCTCGATGGAGCTCAGGCGCCTGAGGTAGCTGGTTAGGCAGCCATTCCGATAGTATGGACTGACAACTGTACTGCGAGTCAGTACAGGTGACTGCGGAAAAACAGCAACATACAGAACCAAGGCGGTCTGCTCGTAGCGGAACTGGCACCGAATAGCTCAAGCACATGCGGATGGTCGAGTCTCTTCCAGACATTGGCCTCGCGGAGGAAGAGCTTTCGCGGGGTCACTTCGGACAGGATCTTGATCGCGACTGTATCTCCGTGCCATCGGCCTTTGTACACCTCGCCGAAGAACCCGACGCCTATCTTCTCATCCAGTTCGACTTCGAATCGAGTGATCGTCCAATGAGGCAAGTTCACATCGAGGTCCCCGCTCAAGCGACTGAGAGCTTCGATGCCGAACTGCATGAACTCTTTATCGAAAGACTGCGTTGCAGCGGCGGCGGGTTCGCGTTTGGGAGGTTCAATAGTTGCCTGAGCTCTGGAAGTCGCATGCTCTCTGGTCTCTTCGCGTTACAACGTGCGCTGGAGAGTCTCGATGGCTTCTGGCATCTCGTCGCGATTGATCTGCATCACTTCACAGATGGCGACATCGTCTCTCTTCCGCAGAGTAGACTGCATCACTCGTCGCAAGTCTGCGGTATCACTGTCCAAGTCTTGCGAGTTCTGGCTTTCTCTGTAGTGGTCGAGCAGCTTATGAACAGCGGTCATGTCCTGCTGTTCGAGCGAAGCTGGAGCCGCATCCGTCATCGCCAGAGACGCCGAGCTAGTTATCGTTGGAGGAAGGGCCGGCTCGAAGATTTCAGGTTGCGGATCGGGGTTTTGGCGGATGTCTCCTTCCCGAATGAGTTGAAGCATGCGCATTTGGACCCTGACCTACACCCATGCCAATAAAAAACACAAAAGCACAATTGTTCGCTTGAAGACATACATTGAACATCCCTAGTGCATCGCTTAGCAATGCATCGCAATGTTGAATATCGCGCTGGATATCGTCGCGTTTCAGATAGCGCTGAAAGAATGAGCGACTCAGTTGTCGTTGCAAAAAGGCAGCTATCTCCGCGTATGCGCTAGGATCATCCGTAAGGACTTTGTCTAGGGAGGGTTTGAGATGACATACTTCTCCAACCTCGTAATGGGCCCCTTCATATCCTCGGCAAGCCTGACGCCCCCCTGGTGGATCTCGTCGCGAATAGATAGCAGCATGTCGGCGCATCTTTCAGTGAGACGCAAACAAGCGAGCCGATTCGACTGAGCGAATCTCGATCAGCGATACGCAGTTATCCCCAAACCACGCCAGTGCTCACTTCAATCATCTTAACAGCGTCCCAGATGCCCAGTAGAGCTTCAGCTGCCAAGTCCAATGCCGGTACAGGTATGAACTGAAAGGCGTCGGCTCCAGCGGCGAGCACTTCGTACGCGATGTCGCCTGTGGGTCCCACTATCGAAGATATGGCTCGTATAACACGCTGATACAGGATCTCAGAATAAGAATGGTAGAAAGCTTCATACTACGCACACTTCTCGTCTTGTGGAGGCTATCGACATGTTCATCTGGGACGTCTCTCGTGCGTCTAGCGTTTCCGAACGTTGAAGTCGAACCTATTTCAAGTTGCTCCGTTTCGTTCAGTCATGCACTGAGATTTGATCTTGTCGACGTACGAAGCAATCCCGTTGCGACGTCACGTTGTGTTATCCGGTCCAAGGGCGATGGGTTGACCCGCGGATCGACTGTGGCGGCACGGAGCGGAACAGGCGCCTCGACGGGAATCCAATTGGCCTTCGCAGGGAGAATGTCTTCTTGTCCAGTTATGCCATATCGACTTTGAGAGCTGTGCCTGTTGGTACGAAGCGCGTTCAGAGCCAGAATACGATCCGCGCCTGCAACGATCCTCACGATCTATGGTGACTCAGAGAGCGATGCATAACTGGAGAGGGCTATATGAAGACACGCTTTCGTACGGGTGGCGATTGAATGATCCCTTGGACGAGGATACACCTGAGTGCTTTGGCGGGCAAAGACAGGCCGCATGCAGGTAATTGGTCAAGTGCTGACTCGGGATAGGCTGACGTACTGATGGATGAGGGAAGCGCTGAACGTAGTTTGATAGACGCTGGCGCCAGTGTCATGGGAGGCCTCCGTACCGGCTGGCAAGTGAATGAAAGACGACAACTGCCGATGCAGATTTTTCGCTACGCGTATGCATAAGAAAAAGGTTGCCCTCCATCGCGCCAGGCGGCTGCAGATAGTATATATTTGCTCGTCGTCATCATGTCCAAGAGCAGGATGGGAAACCGCGCGTCTACGCGGCGGAATAGACCGCCTTCGGGCCGAAACCGCCGATATACCCGCTCGGCTGGCGTCGCATCTTGCCGCACGACCACCACAAGCATCCTCCAACGCCGTGGAACAGCCGTCATATTGACATCCTCCATTACGAATACGAACACTACCTTCGTACTTAATACGGTTGCCGCCCTACGGACATACGGACCTTCAAACTTTCTACCCGGTGTTGTCGACGATGGTTCGATGCCAGAAGCACGCTTTCGTGGGGAGTACAGTGTATACAGCTTTCACAGCTCAGCATGTCCGCATGCGTAGAAAGCATTGCACGAGTCTTCATCTCGCGAACCCACCCTTGATCAGCGACGTCGCAGTCCCTGAGCAGCCTTCAAACGAAGCAACGACCACGTAGGTAATATAAGTAGGTGACTATGGCGTGTGGGAGTCACTACCCCATGAACTGACATGGCACGGTTCCTTGCCAACGCACGTTGCAACGATATGCATTTGGTAGGAATCAAAAGTATAGATTTCGCAAAGGTAAAAAGTAAACAGTGTACACTAATCTGTCAAACGCGTACAGTACGCCAATCTGGTACATCAACATCCCAAGTACTTAACAGCTAGCCCCAGTCTAGACGGGCGACTTCATCAAGAACGTCGCTGATGCATCGTAAGCGGCTTCAGCGACCGGAGAAAACCGATGCTGCTCCTTCCAGTACTTATGCCACTCCCCAAGGCATCCGAACCGCCGATAGCGCATCGCATGCACCTGCCAAGCGGAGGGATACCAACCGGAGTCTTCCCAGTCAATGATACCAGACAGATGCCCATCGCGCACGATGATGTTGTATGTCCGCAGGTCAGGATGTACGTAGCGAATTGGGTCTGCTTCCAGAGCGTCGAGTAGGTCTTGGGCGACATATTGCCGCATCTCGGCCATGGAGCCGAAGCTGCCGGCGTAGCGCCACAGCTCGAGTATCGAGGAGAAGGGCCCGCTGCGCTCTTCGAAGAAGCTGAGCGGTTCGGGGAGGTCATGGCCAGATGCACTCAGCATGACTTTTCCTGCGAGGTAAGCAGGTTGGCGTAAAGTCTGCAGTTTGACCAATACGGCCCAGACTTCCGCGACGATGTTGTCCAGGTCTTCGCGGGAGAAGGTCTCTCGTTGCATTGCATCAACCAGTCTCTCACCTGGAAGGCGAGCCATAACAGTATATGTAGTGCTCGAATGCACAAAAGCGGTTATAAGACGCGGTATGGGAAGCTCAAGACCAGACGAATGCAGGAAGCGGAGAGCATGGGCTTCTGTGCTGGTGGTCCGGGGCGTAATCTTAACAATCCACGGGATACAGAAGCGGAAGTATCGTATGTTGCGGAAATCTTCGAGAGGAAGCGTAAGATGATATAGTAACCATCGTTGCAGGAAGCTGAAGATACCCTGTTGGTGTGGCGTCAGTCGTGGGAAGTACGGGATTCGGGAGAGCTGTACCATGATGCCAGAAACAGCCCTCGCGCAGATATATGCAGATGTGGTGGTGGTGAGTGCGATGAGCAAATGTGGCGGTGGGACTTGAAGCTTGATGGTGGAGGAAAGAGAGAACCTGTTCGCCAGTTGGGCGTGTGCGGCGCCGCGCTTCGGGCCGAATCCCGATATCCCCGCGCGCTTCTGTGTCGCCTCTTGACGCGCGACCACCACATGCATCCCCCAACGCCGTTGAGCTGCCGTTATATTGACATTTCCCGTTACGCATACGAAGCAAGCGAATCGTCACCGCCTGGCCTCACGCGCTTCCTGAGCTACGCGCACCGCTTCTGTACGAGCACTGGCTTATGATCCCGGCTTCCTCTCGTTTATGGCATCTCCACCTATGTCTCTTTGCATCAGAGCTTTATGAGCTTATAACGCGAGATGGGCGGCACATAGGATCACAATGATCCCAGAGTACCCCATACGCCGCTCATACCGGCGTCTTCGATCACCTACGTATGCGAAAGATGAGCGTGCGCCGTACTTGGGATGCCGCGTGTTAGTCGTGCTGTTGCTTTACACATACCGTATTGGAACGTGTTTGTGTTCATGTGGGGTATGATGTTCGTACTTACGAGTACGGTTGGAATGATGCCGTTGTTGGTGGTCATTTGAGCCGCTCATCGTTGAGGGCGATGCGCACGGGTTTCCGAATAGCGGCAGCCAGACTGCTATTGTGCCCTACGCGAAAGAACGTCGGTCGACGACGCATCTCGCCTACTATACGCATAAAAGAGCACGCTCGCATCGGGCGACTCAACCTGTCTTGCCGACTGAAAGATGCCTTCATGAGCGTGTGTGATGTAGGTACGTACTGTACTGTGAGAGATTGAGGGCGTGCGGCGGCGCGTGTATGCGTCCGTGACGCTTTTGTACCTCCGCAGGCAGAGCATACCTTCTGGAAGACTATCCTGACGGGTATATATCCCAAAGATGTGGCCAGAGCGTACGAGGTCTTCCGCCGACAAGTGAACAGGGGTTCTGAACGCAGAGTTCAGAAGATGTTGACTGCGTTCATTGAGAAGGACGTCCTCGAGGCAGGGGCACAGCATGCGAGTCCATTTAGGCGTTCCGGATAGAAGCATCGATAGGACTACGGTTGGTATCTCCAGTATCTCTCGGACATTGAAAGGAGGGATGGCTCGATATCAGGGTCGAGGGTAGAGTTACGATAAGAATGCCTTCACAAGACTAGTAATGTACGGTATACCCTACAGACTCCACAGACAGGAGCCTCTATAGTACGCCTTCTCGCCGAGAGAAGTTGGAGAGAACCCTGGGGAACCCCAACGCCCCTGTGCCCGAAATTGAACGGTAGCGCACGGAGATCAACAAGCGTGTACACGTGCGCGCGCTTGACGTTTGGACGCCACGCCTCCTGCCTCGTTCCCAGCATCCATAAACCGCCAACCGACGTTCCTTTCATACCTTTCCTCTCGCCGCCCGCCAGCTCTGGTCGAGATGTACATCCTGCAGTCCTTCATGCGCTCCGAGACCTTCGGTCCTCGACCGACCAAAGCCCGCCGGCTGACGGACAAGACCAACTTCTTCCTCCCCTCTTCCTCTTCTACCTCCGCTTCGGCCGGCGCGAGGCCGCCAACGCTCAAAGCCAAGGCGGCGCCGACAGTCGCGCTGACGACGGGCGCGGAGCAGAGCTTTGTGCCGTTCCCGGGGTCCAGCGAGGACGAGGAGATGGCGACGAGTTCGAGCTGTCAGACGGAGAACGCGCTCAAGCGGCCAGCTCCTCCGTCGGCTGCGCCCGAGGCTGGGAGGAGAAAACGGTGCACGACTACGGCGGCTAGCACCGTCCACGGTCCCGGTGAGCTTTCCTGTGTCGTGTGCGCATCAAATGCCGAGTTCTGACCGGTGATGTGCAGCACCGCGGCGACGAAGCATCGCGATTGCGTCTCCGCGCC